TTACTGGATGCTACTTCATCATCACTTTCATCTTCGCTTGAGCTTCCGTCATCAGGTCGATCACATGGTAATTTTTTCGGTATTCTTCCTCAACAATTTTAACTTTACTGCACAATTTTCCCCATTCACTTTTTCGTTCACTAGTTTAGTCATAAAACAATAGATATAAATAATTTTTTTTCCTTCCTTTTTAAAACATCGTCGCGAGTCGCAAAGTAAGCTGTGTATGCGACTGTATTTTTGGAGCGAACAAAGCGCGTGAACCAATAGCATGCAGGCACAGTAATACTGGCCAATATGTGATAAATCGCTCAGTGCCCAAGTTCAAGGCCAGCGTTCTTTTTTCACCGTTCGCGCGTACATTAACCTCCATTAGTCAGGTGATATCAATTCAGTTTCCACTGCTGGTTTTATGTTTCAGTCTTTTCATGATTTTTTTTATGAAATTATCGTTTCATTTAGCTGTACTAACATGATGACGCGTGAATAAAGCTAATAAAACGTTGTAAAAATATGTTTTTTTTTTCATCAGGATCAAATTTATTTATGACCCATGATCAAAGGTATACTTGGTGCTGTCGCCTGTCTTAGTTTTCGGGAGCGTTCCAAAAATACCCTGTATATATATATATATATATATATATATATATATATATATATATATATATATATATATATATATATATATATACTCTTTCATTCACTGCAAATGTAACTTTGTAATCCTATATATTTATATGGGATTACAAAGTTATTTATGCAGTTGGTGTATCTCGAAAACTAGACCGCAATTGCAAAATATTTTAGTTTCGATTCTATTTCGGCACTTTTGTATATCATTTAATGCACTTTCATTTCTTTAGCTTTTTTTTATTTTAAAGCAGAGAACCACATCTTATAAATGTAGATGCTGTACTTTTTAATGGCAACAAGGGAACAAATTAAAAACATTCCATGGAGTAAAATACTTGTTACAAAAACATAGAAAAATTGTAAATAAATATTCAATAAAAAAGAAAAAATGTGAGTAAAAAATAAATCTTATAAAATTAATTGAAACTTGTTTCATTTCTTAAAATAAAATTGAGGGGAATTTGTGGGGAAACTGTTGATATTTTCTCCCCAAATTGGGAAATTTGACTTAGATTTTCGGGAAACTTGACAAATTGGTGTTGGCAACGCTGCTAGCTAGTTACCACGGAAGTATAGACAAACTGGAACCCACACTCTTAAGCTGAGAACAAATTATCGGACGCGTCCGTCAGCCGCGGCTGATAGACGCGGCTTATTTGAATCTAGCCAGTACATTTAATACTACACTGTGCAAACTATCAGTCGTAAGACGCGGACGTGCCCTTGGGTCGTCCTTGAGCGTTCAGACGTCCGAACAGAATCTAGCCAGCTGGATATTTGTGCGTCCTCGGACGATGTGCACAGGCTACGGGACGCGTCCGCGGACGTTTCGAGCGTCACAAACGAACCGACCGCGCTCGCGACATGTCAGACGAAGAAAATTTAATTGAATGTGTTCGTGGCCACATAAATGCTACTTTAAACAAGAAGTGTGGGAGCAAATTGCTGCTGAATTAAACATCATTTTCAGTCAGACTAAGCAGAAAATTAAATTGGTTTTCATTAATTCTTAAGTACATTTTGTAACGTTTATCATCTTTTTGTAAGTCTGGATACAATGTATGAAATTCACCATACTAGAGTCTTTTTACATTAATATCATGGACCCAAACACTCCTTTTCACTTTTTTTTTGGAGGTCAACATAAGGCAGCTGCCGCTAACTCTATAAATTCGTCCTCGCTGTCGCTGCTTGTCATGTTTCTCGATTGAAACACCTTTATAGAAAGACTGAAGTGAGGCGTCCGAAGACGCCGTCTTAACTACCGTGCACTAGCGGTGTGCCGCGACTGTCAGCCGCGGCTGACGGACTCGTCCGATAATTTGTTCTCAGCTTTAATATCAACATTAGGAATAATCAAATGACCTTGAGTAACCCCTGTTTTCCCTACAGGATAGCCAATGTGACGACTTTTATTATGCCATTGACAGCCATCATGAATTTCAGTATAAGTTTAATTCTCAGTATGTCAAGAATTTTAAGTAAAAAATGATAACAAAACTTGACAAAAACGATTTTCACCACTTAAGTGTTTGCTTTTTTCTTTTAAACACTTAATAAAGATTTATGATGAACTATTTGCGTAGCTTCCTACATATTTCCCCTACTTTAGATATATTCTTAAAAGCTGTTATATGATAACCCAAAATCTATTTGTCAAATAATTTTTACTGTACATGGCGAATGTTTATGTTCATTTCGCAAGTTTGAATGAATTTGAAGTTTGAATTTTGGAATAATGCAGAGGCAAAACTAGTAAAATGGTCATTAAATTTATTGTGCGCGGTTGCAAAAGTGAGTGGCATCCAGAATATAATATGATAATTTATTCCTTAGTACAAAATACCATGCAAATACTGCGCGTCATGTCAAACTGATTTTTAGTGATATTTCGACTTTCATTGCTATTATTTTTATATAGAAAAATAGTTATTTTGGTTTAGATGTTTATTATTGTTCGGTATTTCCAATTTTACTTCGCTATTTGCTTAATAATTAATGTTTCATGTTTGTATTATAATTTCGACTAGTGTGACCATACCATTTCCATTGTATCCATGTTCCATCATGACCATTGTAATGTTTTTTCATTTTAATTACAAACGGAAAAGGTTTTCTCGAATGGAATCTCTGCTCGATTTGCGTGAAATTTCGTAACGTTGTTTACACGAATGACGATACACTGAAACATCAAAATTAAAATAAATTTATATCTTTTCTTACTTAACTTTTTGCAGGTTTTCTTCCAATCTAACAGAACGTAACGTAACAGAGTGGTTAAATAATGTGGAGCTAAAAATACCTTTTTTTGAAAAAGCAAAGATTTGTAATCTTTTTCATATCAACCAATTACATGATTACTGGGAAACAACTGAGTCAAGGAGTCACACCATTTTTAAATGATATGGCAGATTGTTCTGTGGTACAGGTATGAACTTTTGTTAAGTACTTGTTATTTCTTATTTCAAAGCGAAGTTTTGTTTCCAGGGAAGAAAAGTAATTTAAAAAAATCGCAAAAAAATTTTTTTTCTGAGAAAGTAAGAAAAAAGCATTTCGTTACCTAGAAAATACTAACAGCTTAATATGTGATATCACTAGGCTATAATTTGTAAAAATAATTACAAGCCATTTTTGTACAACATTTTGCTAAGTATTAAATTGTATTTAATTTTTTAAATGAAAATTTACACATTTAATCAAAATTGCGGTCTCAGGAAATACATTTTTTGACAATTTTGTTACACGTATATAAGTGCTATCGCTATAAATAAAGATATAAATATAAAAAAAACAATTTTTGTTTTAATGTTTTTTAATATAGTTCAATTTACTTCGTATGACTTTTATATTTTTGTTTACCAAATGTATATTGTTAATTCCAGACATGTAAACAAAGATAATCTATATAGGTATTTTATACGCGGTAGAGCCATGCTGCAGCTATATTAGTAGTAAGTATAGTTCTATCACGAATGGGTCAGCTCGACCGGGGAAGGACCACGCTTTCACAGAATACCATTGTAAAATAGCAGCTTAACGCTGTTGTGTTTCGTGCGGTGAGTGTAGAGAACCGGAGACCCTTTTTACTGGAAATGAGGCATTCCATCTTAGTTCTCATCTTATGTCTATGAGCTGCAGCAATCACTATCAGGTGAACTGCATCAGCTTATGGATGACAGTATTAATTGCTCTGAATTTCATTAATCCAGAATTTAAAAATATTTTTATAGGATAGGGTGACAAACGAGCACACAGTCCACCTGATGGTAAGTGGTTGCTGTGAATTTCAAACTCTTTTTTTACCATGCGTCTCAGAATGCATCTAAAAGATTTTATGGACCAAAAGTTGAGTGCTGTTCGTACCAAGCGACAAAAACTTCACAAAACTATTCAATCATGTATAAAAATTAAGTTGTTTTAAAAACCTCTAATTATTATTGTTATATATTTTAAATTTGTAGATGCTATTGCTATTGTAATAATAAATGTAAATAAAAACGATTATTATTTTAGTTTTATTATTTCCTAATGTTAGATTATAAGGGATGTAAAGACAGCCTCCCGAAAACTTTAACCATGAACTCATCACGACCATTATCCTGAGCAAGGTATTGAAGGAATTTCTTTGTGGAAATAAAAAAAATTGACTTCCCATACAAAATTGGTCACGTGACATTTTGAATTTTTATTTTTATTTTTGGACAAAAATTATTTTAGATTTTGTTCAGAATGATGGTCTGAGTTCATGGTTAAAGTTTTGTATATTGAGCCTGTTCACTCGTTTATTCGTTTATTGACAAAAAAAGTACACAAATAAATAATATTAATTAATAAACTTCCGCCCGCAGCTTCATACTTATGTATTTTTCTAATATCATGCGTTTCAATGGAACTCTACTATTTTCAATTAAAATAAAATTTTGTATGTGAATATAAACTGATTTTTCCTCATAATATCCCAAATTCTTGTATTTTGTGTTCACCCTAATTAGAAAGAGACTAAGGGGTAATGAAAAATTTCAAGGTCGTTTTCTTGTATTTTTATGTCATTCGAGAGTGCGGGTTCCAGTTTGTACGAAGTACATGTATTTCCATGCTAGTTACATATTTATTTATCTATGGATGGACGAAAGACAGATGGAGTAGCAGGCTCAGAAAGGCTAGTACCCAGAGCCGTAAAGCCAGTTTAAAAAAAAAACGGATGGAGTAGTCCGTTAAGTTTTGATTTTCAATTGTGTTGATGTTATCTTAAAAAAAATAGTTAAAGCAAATGTTAATGTGGTTTTTAATTTAAACTTTGGTTTGATTATACAAATGCGTCTACAATAATTTATCCTTAGTTATCAACGATTATTTTCTATGTCATTATGATAGAAAATGCGATCATTTCTACTCCTGCTTCAAGGCTGAGTATTGGCGGGAGCAGTAATAGTTCTTTGCGAAGAAGAAGTCTTATACCGCAAAAGAATCGCTTAAATAAGGATGAGGTTCACTCAAATTTATTTTATTATATTCTATTTAAAATTTAGTAAATGTAATTTTAAGCAATTTTATAGAATTGCTTGTGCGATGTGGAGTACTAGCTGAATTAAAAGTTAAACAATAGAATTTCAGTGAGTTGCTTAACTGGAAAACAGTGATGATCAGGGGATTAAATTTATTTTAAAAAAAAAATAGCAATATTGAGTTATAATCAAAACTTTCCATACAAAAATTCTCTGTTTAAGGACTGGTATTTTCAATCTATTTGTTTCTAATTCTGTATGAATAAGTCGAGAATTCATAATATCTATAGAAATGTAATATATTATATGAATTCTTTATTGTGTGTTAATATTTATAAATACAGATAAATCTATTTATCTGATAACAGCATATTATGCAAGTACTTTCTCGCCAAATTGGTAATTATCAACTATAATTTAAACGTTTCTGTGAAGTGATGCTAGGAACAAATATTAGCTTATGGATTGATGGGGCGATAGGAGCATACCACTGTAAAAATACATATTTTGATTATTTCAAACCAGTAGCAGAGCCATCATAGTGGTAACTGTCATAATTTTGTAAGGCTCTTTTTATCACCAATTCTGTAGAGCAATGGTAGCTGTACCCCTGCTTCAAATTTGCTATCAAAACTAAGTACTTTCTATATAAATGTAATAATGACTACCACGATAAGTGGTTACCAAAGTGGAGCTAATTAGAACAGATTAAATTGTCTAAACAATGACATAACAATTTTGTAGAACAAACTTGTATGGTGCTTGCACTAATCAGTGTGTTCTGTATTCTGTATGAACAATAAACTAACTGGGCAGCACAATAAGTGTTGTCATGTACATGCTTTAAAACAGACCTAAAATAATTTAGTATGTAACGGAAGTTCAGCCCTCATAATCTATGCCTTTAAACAAACCAATCATGTAGTCAATAGAGTCAGTAGTCACGTAAATAAGAACGAAACACATGATGGGCAGCAATATCTTTCTGATAACAACTCAAAATAATATAATCTGTGGTTGCCAACTTATCTGCCAATTGTGGCAACTTTGGCAAATACCCCTCTATGAGGCAATCTATGAGAGAGACCTATGTTTACAAGTGAACTTTGATGGGCTGTAATATTGGATGAAAACAAACCAATACAAATGATCAATTATTAAAATTAAAGGTTTATATTCTATTTCTAGGAACGCAATGATGATGATGCAGAGAGATCATCACTGGTGGCATCTGAGCGAGCAATTGTGTCATCTACTCCGCTGGCCTCTCCACGTCGTGGCAGGGACACTATGTCCTCATCACCACAAAAGGAACATTTTCAAGGCTGCCTTAAACTTTACGCAGAAAATGTAGGTTCAGATGTTTTTACATTTTATTTTCAGAAATAAATTTACCAAATTTCACATAAATGTCAATTTATATTTTCATGTCTGTATGCTATTTTATAACAAATTTTCTTTTATGTTACCATTTAAATATTTTAACTTATTTTGCATAATATTAATAATTCATTAAGATCACATTACAAAGTTTAGTATGTTTATGTAATATTTTTCAGAAAATTAACAAAGACAATGCTTGGAACCTTCAATTAATAGACTTCATGACATCAATGCTTCGTCGCCATGATTCTCGCATGGAGAACCTACAGACGGCATCTACTGTAGTTGATGCATCTGCTAGAATTTATTCATTTAGAGTGGATGCAGTTCACTATGATGTTTTAAAAATGGCTGGAGGCTTAAGCAAAGCTGCACAGGTATGATTTTTTTCTAATTTATGATACATAACATGTAACTGACAACATAAATGGTACTTACTTCAATTTTAACAGACCACTGTTATTGCAAAATAAAAAAAAATCGATGTAGTGTTTATGTGATAAGGTAATAGTTTTAGGGATAGGAATATTTTTTTTTCTATGCCAAGAGTGGCTCTAGTTGGCTAGGATTAAAACTTAAAAGCCCATGACTCTAAATATTCTAAAGGTATGTTAAGTCTATGATTACATAAAAATTGCCATTACAGCTTATCAAAAGTCACTGCTGAACACATGCCTCCACTATTGATTGCCTCATAAGGGGGATAATTGCCACATTTGCCACGCTTTACAAGCAAGTTAGCAACTGCAGTTATTTATGTTTTATTCTGTTATTATCAGGTAGATGCTGCTGCTGATGATCTCCTAGTTCAGTTTCCCTCTGTCACTTCTTACGAAACTCGGGGTAGTTTGGGGTAATGGATATTCTTACACTGCCACTACATGGTTACTGTGTAATGGCGGTATAAGAACTTAAATGCAATAATTTGTCTTCTTTTTCTTCTCTTTATTTACTCTGTAACACGGTCCACTGGTTTTCTTGGGCGTCACCTATTGTAGAGAAGATTTATCTTTATTATTATCCTTGACCTATTGGTGATTGCAGCACCATTGACAATCCCACGAACTTGACAAATCACATCTGACATATTATATGTGTGGTTGTAAACCACTATTTATCAGAAATCATAATCTCTTTCTGACCTTACCCCAAAGAGTACAATAAGTATATACAGGAAAAGAGAGCCCTCTGACGATATTTAATTGCAGAAAAAATTGAACTACTAGCGCCTCCTACAAATTGAATCCGTACTAATTCGCTATATATATATTATACGTCATATTTAAACTATTATGTTCTTTAATTCGTATACTTATGTACTGAAACAGTTCCTACTTTTTGTAATACTAATTTATACTTTTTTAAAAAAAAAATATTAAAAGTAGGAGCTACAGTAGTGTTTTATTTATTCAGACTTATTATAATATAATTATGCTAACACAACGTAATGGTTATTAAAAAGAGTATTGGTAGTAAATGTAAGTTACATAATTGAATATAACTTAATATGGGATACTCAGCCCCTGCCTAATTTTTTTTTATATTAATGACATTTTTTGCGTACTTAATAAATACTCTTTGTGTTTTCTCTTAAAACTATTCTTATTTGTTATGACTCGTAATGGTGGTGGAAGATCATTCCGACATTTTGTGGCCATAAATTTTGTAACTACCAGGAAATGCTGATGTCATATGTTGAGGTATGCAGAGTACTTTTGCACACTTTCGAATACCGTACATATGTTGATTTTGTCTCCACTGAAGCTTTTCATATAGGTATTCTGGTTTCTTTGTTTTTATTACTCTAAATATATAGGGAGACATAAAATAATTTGAGACGTTCCTGCATTTTAAGCATATTAGAGGCATTAAGGTAAGGTGTAACATGTGTTCGTCTTGGGATGTAAAAACAGTAACGAGCGCAAGCATTTTGTACCGTTTTAATTAAATTTTTTGATTTTTTAAATAGAAAATTCACAGCGGTAGAGCCACGCGGCAGCTTTTGCTGCCGCACGGATGGGCCGGTTCGAACCGGGGTGGTACCACGACCTCACAGAAAACCAGCGTGAAGTAGAGGTTTACCTCTGCGTTTCGCTTGGTGAGTGCAGGTGGCCGGAGGCCTTTTTTGCTGGAAATGAGCATTCCATCTTAGTCCTCACGGGTGACAACGCATCTACATTTTCAGTTGTAATAGAGGATAGATGTAGATGTCTATGGGCCGCAGTAACCACTTACCATCATGTGGACTGTGTGCTCGTTTGTCGCCCTTATCCTATAAAAAAAAAAAGACAAGGTCCATACAAAGTTATACAATAATTTAGATTAGACAGAACTAAGGTTTCACATAGTTTAACGCGTAAGTCTACAGTGATAAACTGCCTAATTGAATATAAAACTTGAATTTTAACAGTGGTAGAGCCAAGCGGTAGCTTTTGCTGTCGCACGGATGGGCCAGCTCGAACCGGGGTGGTACCACGACCTCACAGAATACCAGCGTGAAGTAGAGGTTTACCTCTGCGTTGCGTTTGGTGAGTGCAGGTGGCCGGAGGCCCAATTCCCCCCCCCCCCATCAACATGGTAGTGGAATTAAATACAAGACTACCCCAGGAGGGTACCAGCAACCCTGGAGAATCCCTCGCTGAGCATCCACGAACAAACTACTTCACTCCTGAGCGTGGGTGCTCAGGCTGCCCCGCGTATTCTGGGGGGGGCAAAATTCCGCTCGTGACTAATGCTGCTCGGGGCAAGCGGAGCAATACAACCAAGGCGACCCCTGTCACGCTATCCGTGAATTTTTGCAACATCAGGGGACTTCATTCCAACCTTAACGCTGTCCATTACCATCTAGAGACGGCGAAGCCGGCCTTGCTCTTTTTAACCGAGACTCAGGTGTCCTCTCCGGCTGATACTTCATATCTCTCCTACCCGGGGTACAAATTGGAACACTCCTTTGTGCCCCGGGCTGGAGTTTGTGTATACGTCAGAGAGGACATCTGTTTTCGACGCCTCGGCAGCCTTGAAGGTACGGACCTGTCCATCCTATGGCTGCGCGTAGACAGCGACGACCATCCCCGCGTCTACGGGTGCCTCTATAGGTCCCATAGCGGTAATGCCGACACAGACCGACTCATCGACCACGTCCAAATGGCTGCAGACTCCGTGCTACAACAGGTCCCATCCGCAGAGATCGTGATACTCGGTGATTTCAACGCCCACCACGCTGAATGGCTTGGTTCTCGTTCAACCGATCATGCGGGTAGATCTGTCTACGACTTTGCTTTGGCATATGGTCTAACACAACTGGTTACTTCGCCTACGCGGATCCCAGATGTGGAAGACCATGTACCTTCCCTGTTGGACCTTCTGCTGACCTCTCATCCGGACGGATATCAGGTCTCCGTCGATGCCCCTCTGGGCTCTTCGGACCATTGTCTGATCCGGAGCACAGTGCCACTCACGCTCCAATCGCAGTTGCGATCTACAGCTTGCCGCCGTGTTTGGCACTATAGGTCAGCTGATTGGGACGGGATGCGGTCTTTTTTTGCATCCTACCCTTGGGGGCGGGTTTGCTTCTCGCCGGAAGATCCCAGCGTTGTTGCCGATTCTGTTGCTGATGTGGTACTTCAGGGTATGGAACTTTTTATTCCATCCTCTGTGGTGCCCATCGGAGGCAGATCCCAGCCATGGTTTGGTCGCTCCTGTAAAATAGCATCACGCTATAAGCAGGAGTGCTACCGGGCCTGGGCTGACGCATCAACGTCTCGGGATTTAAACACCAGCGCACTTAAAAAGAAGTATAATTCCGCCTCCAGGTCCTTCAAAAGCGTCATTGCCAAGGCAAGGTCTGAGCACATCGGCAGAATTGGCGAGAAGCTAGTTCGCCTTCCTTCGGGAACCCGTGCATTCTGGTCTCTCGCCAAGGCTGTCCAAGGGAACTTCTGTCAGCCATCCCTCCCATCTCTGCACAGAGAGGACGACTCACTGGCCCATGCCGCAAAAGAGAAAGCCGATCTGTTGTGCTCTCTTTTTGCGTCCAACTCGACTCTAGATGACGGGGGGAACACACCGCCGACCATCCCGCGATGTGAGTGCTCCATGCCGGATGTGCGATTTACACAGCGCTCGGTTCGCAAAGCACTCTTCTCCCTGGACGTCAGCAAGTCGAGTGGGCCCGATGGAGTCCCTCCCATTGTGCTGAAGACGTGTGCTCCGGAGTTGGCACCGGTTTTAACGCGTCTTTTCCGGTACTCCTACTCCCAAGGCGTAGTCCCGAATTCATGGAAGACAGCTTTGGTCCACCCGATCCCTAAAAAAGGCGACCGCTCAGACCCGTCCAACTACAGGCCTATCGCCATCACCTCCTTGTTCTCCAAAATAATGGAATCCATTATAAACTGCCAGCTCATGAGGTACCTTGAGGATCACCAGCTGATCAGTGACCGTCAGTACGGTTTTCGTCGGGGTCGATCAGCAGGTGATCTTTTAGTTTACTTAACTCATAGATGGGCGGAGGCAGTAGAGTCCAAGGGGGAGGCATTGGCCGTTAGTTTGGACATAGCGAAGGCCTTCGATCGGGTCTGGCACAAGGCGCTTCTTTCGAAGCTTCCTTCCTATGGGCTTCCCGAGAAATTGTGCAAATGGATCACCAGTTTCCTTGCTGATCGGAGCATCAAGGTCGTAGTAGACGGTGCATGCTCTGATTACAAGCCTATCAACGCTGGTGTTCCACAAGGCTGCGTGCTATCACCAACGCTGTTTCTCCTGCATATCAATGATATGCTGCTAACTGGTAGCATTCATTGCTATGCAGACGACAGCACTGGGGATGCCTTATATACCGGCCGTGCCAATATTTCTCGGGAAAACGTCGCCGAGTACCGGGACAAACTTGTGTCTGAAGTCGAGTCTTTGCTTAACAAAGTCTCGGATTGGGGCCGACTAAATCTAGTCCAGTTCAATCCCCAGAAGACACAAGTTTGCGCGTTTACCGCTAAAAAGAACCCCTTTGTCGTATCTCCTCAGTTTCAAGGCACTCCCCTTGCTGCCTCAGCCAGTATCGGAATCCTTGGCGTCGACATATCGAATAGCGTGCAGTTTCGTGGTCACTTGGAAGGGAAGGCCAAATTGGCCTCTAAAAAGCTTGGCGTGCTCAGCAGAGCGAGACAGTATTTCATGCCGGCACATCGCTTGCAACTTTACAAAGCGCAAGTTCGGCCCCACATGGAATACTGTTCTCATCTCTGGGCCGGGGCACCCCAGTGCCAGCTCCTTCCACTTGACCGCATCCAGCGCAGAGCGATTCGAATCGTCGACGACCGAGTTCTTTCCGATCGGCTCGATACACTGGCACTGCGTAGAGATGTTGCATCTCTTTGCGTATTTTATCGCATCTATCACGGGGAGTGCTCTGAGGAATTGTTCGGACTAATTCCAGCCGCTCAATTTCACCATCGCACGTCGCGACAAAACTCGCGTTACCATCCATACCATCTGGATGATTGGCGGTCCACCACTGTGCGATTTAGAAGAAGTTTTCTCCCTCGCACAACTTCTTTGTGGAATCAATTACCACCAGCGAATTTTCCGAACCGATACGACTTAGGAACCTTCAAGAAAAGAGCTTACACCTTTCTAAAAGGCCGGCAACGCATCTGCAATTCCCCTGGTGTTGCGGTTGTTCATGGGCGGCGGTAGTCACTTAACATCAGGTGAGCCGCATGCTCGTTTGCCCCCTATTCTATAAAAAAAAAAAAAAAAAACTTTCAATCGGAAAAAAACAACTTTTTACGACATTAATTACATGATTTTCAAACTTTAAATAACTGTCCATAAGAACCCCAAAATTTCGTACTTCAAAAACTCGTTCAATGTTTTCCCCATCAATACGTATGTTAGGATCAGTAAAGTTATGTCCTGTACCTGCTTTTTAGTACCTATAATAATAAACTTAGATTTTGTAGGATTAAGGAGCATGAAGTTATTTTGTGACCAAGAACTAATGCGTTAAAGATCCTCATTTAACTTATCTACCGCTGTATTTACATTTTTACTATCTACACTAATATACACCTGTAGGTCATCAGCATAAATATGGTATTTGCAATTTTCAAGACATGCTGTTATATCGGAACTATAGATGATAAAAAGCTAAAATAGATCCTTGAGGGACACCTTTATTGACAGGAAGAAGTTGGGAAACATAGCTTTCGCCATCATTTCTGTTAATTATAACTTGTTGTAGACGATTATCGAGATAACTCTTAAACCACATCAATGCCCCGTTATCAAAACCGTAATATGATATCTATTAACAAATCCGTATTTATCGAATCGAATGCTTTTGAAAAATCTAAAAGAGTGAGAATCGTGCCTTTGCCAGAATCCGTAAAAGACAGCACGTCATCTACGACATTTATAAGGGCTGTAGTTGTCCCATGACTCTTCCTAAACCCTGATTGTAACTTAGGTAGTATTTTATTTAGTTCACAAAAGCATACTACTTGAAAGTGTACAACTTTTTCCAATATTTTTGATAAATATGGTGAAATGCTAATAGACCTTAGGTCGCTTAAATCAACTGCGTTGTCTTTTTTTGGTACGGGACGAATTAGTGTGGTTTTCCACTAAGAAAGAAAAATTGATTCTGTGATAGACCTATTAATTATTGCTGTTATAACCATTAATGTTTGTGGTAGTGTCAAAAGTATCATTTCCATACTAATTCGATCAACCCCTTGTGCGTTCGACTTGATAGCCATAATAACTTTTGCAACTACGCTTTCATGGACTGGCATTAACTTTAATGTGTTTGAGTTATATTTAGAACTTTTAAAGAATTAAAGAATAAAACGAACCAGTATTGCCTATGTCCGGAATATTAAGAAAGTGGTGGTATATAAGTGGTGGCAATAAGTACACTTGTAAATACAAGGGTATATAATAATATATAAAAATAATAGGGTATATAATAATATATAAAAATGATTTATTTGCAATTAAACAAGAATGACAATTTAGTATGACAATTATTCCATTTTTTTATTATAATATTATGCTGGTTGCAAGTATCATAATTATCATATTTATCGATTGATTTGATAATCATTACGTATTTTTATGTTAAAATGATAATTTGTTATTATTAAAATCACCAATAAATGTTTGGTGTCTTTATTTTTATTTTGTAAGTAATATTTCATTTTATTTTTTCAAAGTAGCAATATCTGTGAAGCCATAAGACCTACTATAAACAAAACTTTTTTGGAAACAAATTATGGATGGCGCCACCATCTATTGAATTTTTGTGGTCCAAGGCAACTGCACTCCTGCCTTACCCATACTCATCATGTTGTATTGAATGGATTAAATTATGGATTACTTGCCAATGCCATGTGAACAACACATCTTTAGAATTAGTGGCATTTCTTTTTATATAATAAGGGTGACAAACGGGCACACAGTCCACCTGATGGTAAGTGGATGCTGTTGCTCATAGGCACCAACATTTATCCTCAATTAAGAATCAAAATGCAGATGCGTTGTCACCCCTGAGGAGTGAGATGGAATGCCTCATTTCCAGTAAAAAGGGTCTCCGATTCTCTACACTCACCATATGAAACACAGCAGTATTAAGCTGCTATTTTACGCTGGTATTCTGTAAGAGCGTGTTCCCACACCGGATGAGCCGACCCTTCGTGCTGTAACCACAATATAGCTGCAGCATGTCTCTACCACCTAAAAATTGGCATATATTTGGCATGGTATTATTATCTTTTAATAGACAAAAAGAGGGAAAAAAGACGACGACGCGGGCTCTCAAGATGAGGGCGCTGCAGAAGGCGATGCTGCTGCACCAGTCAAGAAGAAGAAAAAAAGATCTAAAGGTGCCATAGCTGCTAATCCTGACATTTTTAATGGTGACTTTGATGCCAACGATTGTGTGGGTTAGTAGTCAGTTGACATCACAGATTCTTTTTATTTAACATATATTTGTGAATTTATATTTGTTTTATAAGGTTGTTTATTGGTAATGTCTCAGGGATTACTGGATTATTTGTAAACATATTTTTTTTCCATAAACATCAGAAATCATGATGATAGTCGACTATATTTGAAATTATTCAAGGTCTTTAATAATAATAGATAGTTTCACCATATGTATAACATATTGGAGGTAATACAAAAAATTATAAACATATTTGCCATGCATTGTTAGAGGTTGTAAGGAAGAAAATGTGGCAACTGTTGCCGGGGTATGGTGTGGATGGTAGATTGCTAAGGGCTGTGCAGTCACTTTACTGTGACTGTAAAGCCTGTGTGCGGGTAGGGCATGACCTGTCACCCATATTTAGCGTCTAAACGGGCGTAAAACAGGGTTGTGTCATGTCTTCCTGGCTGTTCATAATGTATCTCGACAGCTGTTTACAGAAGCTGAAAGATTTGGACGAAATTGGGTGACATTAAAGTAAATTGTCTGCTGTATGCTGATGTCGCAGTGCTTATTGCACCATCAGAGGCAGAACTGCAGGCATTAGTCACGTGTATGAAAGAGGAATGTGAAATTAAAGGTCTCCATTTGAATGCTAATAAAACTAAGGTTCTGGTATTTGGAAGGGACGAAGAGAGAACGAAGTGTGAAATATGGGTAAATCAGGAATGTCTAGAACTGGTAAATGAAATTGTATATTTGGGGAGTGCTTTCAGCCGGGATGGAAGATGTGATTTAGATGTGGACAGGCGTGTCGCTGCCGGGAACAAAGTCAATGGTGCCCTGACTGCGTTAGTCAAAAGGCAAGGCGTAGTGAAGAGTGCACGCCTTGCAATACATAACGCAGTGTTGATACCGACTTTATTATATGGCAGCGAAACCTGGGTATGCCAGAAGAAGCATAAAAGTAAGTTGAATGCAGTGGAGATGCGATCTCTTCGTAAAATGTGCGGCGTTACGATGGCCGACCGAAAGCGAAACGAAGAGATTCGCAATATGGCAGGTTTGAAAGATGAGCTTATCACAAAAATTGATAAGGGCGTGCTTCGATGGTTTGGGCACGTTGAGCGAATGAGTGAAGACCGAATGGTGAAGAAAATATATAGCGCGAAAGTAAATATTAAAAGGTGTCGAGGTAGACTGACACTAACTTTCGAAGACCATGTGAGCAAATTGCTCGAAGAGGGGAGGGTCAAGAGTACTCGGTTACCTAGACGTGCATGTATGAAGAAGATAATGAATCTGAAAGAAGCAAAAGAGGTATGTAAGGATTGTGACACTTGGCGATCTGTTCTCTCTGGCTACCCCGTCAGGGATTGTGCGTGAAGATAAATAAGTAAATTGTTAGAGGAACATTCTATATAGAGAAATATCAAAAATCTATTCTAGCATAATATTTTGGGTTCACCATTAAATAATGTATTTAAAATAGAATATAAATAGGCTTACTTTATTATTTAATAGACTTGTTTATAATTTTATAAATTTGCTATACTACTTACTATTTTTTTTTCAACAGATCCATTTTTTGAGAGGCTTGCTGCTACGACAGGTGACGTGACATCCTCAAATAGAGCATTTAATGCAACTCTACCAATACATGACAACACCTTTACATTGATTTTAAGGTATTTTTGAATAATTTTATCTTTTCAAGCATACTTAAACTAAATTTATTTGATTCTATCACTGTATCTAGGTGTTCTAAGGGGTGACTTAAATACCAAGATTTTAAAGCATATCGCCAAATCCGCCTGCCAGTCGTGGCGATATACGAAAACTTTTTAGTAAGAAATTACTGAAATTGCTAATTATTCCTACAATCAAAGAGGAGAATCAGGATTTTATAATGAAAGAGTGAAGAAGAAAATAGAGCCATTAATAATATTTAATTTATATTTAAAACAGAATAATTCAAAACTCATAATTGGTAAAATTACTATATTCAAACTTTGAAATAAATTTAATTATATGTTTTTAGAACGGATGATAAATTTTTGGAGCCGATAAAAGAAAACATTACAGAAGATTTGGTATTAGATGAACATATAACATTGGCCTTGAAGTTGTTTCCAGAATTTAGAGAAACGGACCATATTTGCGAGCCTTTTGCTGGATTCTCGTTCAATAACTGGGATCCGGAAACGGAAGATGCGTAAGTGAAAAGTATTTATTATGCGCCTATCTACAATAAAATTACGTAATTCAAAGTTTGTTCAAATATCTTTACTTTCAGGAATTTTGCTTAACAAATAAGAATAAAATCGTAAAGTAATTTAATAATAAAATTTAAAATTCTTTACAACTGCTCTTGAAACAGAGGCACAATTGAATATCGTCATCTGATTGCTTTAATTTAAATAGATGAGTTAAAATAGTTAAAAAATGATGCCTCCAATGCTTGGCAAAACCAATAGACTTGATTTATGTCAGGTAAAATAGTACCTAATCAGCAATGTCGCACAACCACCACATCATATCCTCAATTTGTAGCTTCAGGAGATTCCAATATGTGAAGGACTAATTATTATTGTAATTATATGAAGACCTTTTTTTTTGAAATTGTTGTGTTCATCCTTGGTGTGATAAGATTTATTTTTTAACTAGCAACAAAATTAAGAATTTGTATATTTTACAGCGAAAATCGTATTAATAACTGGGTTGAAGAAAACCGGTTAAACCTATCACAACAAGCTCTTGCCTTCGATGTCAATGCTGAAGTCGAACCTATACCTCAAGATGAAGTCCATAATGATTTATTTGGTAAACTATTACTATAGTTATTACTATTGCTTTTTATTTATTGATTACATGTAGTACTTATTTGTTTATTGATTTATTATTACAATTAAAAAAACACCTAGGACAGTTCTTATCTGTAGGTCATACAAATACTTGTCCTGTTCAGGAATTTAACCCATGGTGATGTAGTTTAGTGTGTTACACATCTACCATTTTTTTACCTTTTTAGGGTTCCGTACCTCAAAAGGAAAAAACGGAACTCTTATAGGATCACTTTGTTGTCCGTCTGTCTATATGTCTGTCTGTCTGTCTGTCGAGACCCTTTTTCTCAGGAACGCGTGGAGGTATCAAGCTGAAATTTATATCAAATACTCAAGTCTATTGTCCCTTGGAGCTGTGAAAAAAATCAAACTTCTAAGCCAACGCAATCAAAAGATACAGCCCTTTATGCCAAAAATTTTCGACATTCGCAAGGGAATCAAAACCTACAGGGTACTTCCCGTGAAATTAGAATCTTAAAATTTGGTACGAAGCAATGTATTATAGCACAGATAAAGGAAAAATTGCGAAAAGTATAAATTTTTAGTTACATCATATAATAAAAGTATTTTTAATAATTTTAAACTTATATACCTACGGATTTGTTCGGAACCCTCGGTGCGCGTATCCGACTCGCACATGGCCGGTTTTTTTTAGGCAATTGTTGCCTTAATCTTGTGTACCATGTGAATGAAATTCAATTATCCAATTCGTTCTGTGGGTGTCGTTAGAGGTGACTATGGTAAATGTCTTAAAGATCTTAAGTTGGGGCTACCTATCCACACCAACTGGACGATATGGGCTGGTGGATATTCTTACACCGCCACTTCACGGTTTACTTCTATAATTATCTATATCATTTTGTGGCATACTTTGAATAAGGAGAGCTTTAAAATTACACGGTACCTTATACACTACCATTACTGTTACAGCCTGTTAAAGTCCACTGCTGAACATAGGTCTCCCCTAAATATTGCCTCACAGGGATGATATTTGCTATAGCTGCCACTCTGGGCAAGCGGGTTGGCAACCGCAGTTTTTTAATTTTTGTCGTTATTAGGAAGACATTGCTGCCCGTCTCATGATTTGTTTCGCTCTGTCACTGATTTAACCAAACAAAAGGAACTCTACATGTACCTTGTTACACCACCCACTAGATGATATGGGGTAGTGGATATTTTTACATTGCCACACACTTCAACTCATCATCATCATCATCATCATTACAGCCCTTCACAAGTCCACTGCTGAACATAGGCCTCCACCAAGGAATGCCACAAAGCACGGTCCTGAGCCACCTGCATCCATCGACTTCCTGCACGTCTCACCAGGTCGTCACTCCATCTAGAAATCCGAAAAAAAACAAAAATGTAATTTTGTTGAGCACAAATCACAACAAAATAGAAATTCTTGAATCAGAGCAGAAGAAACCAAAAATGATCATGGACTATAATGCAACAAAGGGTGCTGTTGATTTTTTGACAAAATGGTTTCTGCCTATAGTTGTAAACGAATGACTAGAAGGTGGCCAATAGCCATATTTCATAATATGATTGATATTTTATGTTTCAATGCTTATGTATTATACTGTGACACCCACCCAGACTGGAAACAGAAGAGAACAGTACAAAGACGGTTGTTTCTAGAGAAATTAGCCATGGAATTGGTAACATCGAGCGTAAGAAAACTCTTTCTCGGACAAATCATCATCATCATTACATCCCTTCACAAGTCCACTGCTGACCATAGGCCTCCCCCAAAGAATGCCACAAAGCACGGTCCTGAGCCACCTGCATCCATCGACTTCCTGCATATCTTACCAGGTCGTCACTCCATCTAGTGGGGGGTTGCCCTACACTTCGCCTACCGGTACGAGGCTGCCACTCGAGGACCTTTCTTCCTCATCGGTTGTCGGTTCTTCGAGCTATATGGTTGGCCCACTGCCACTTCAGCTTACTAATCCGTTGGGCTATGTCGGTTACTCTGGTTCTACTGCGGATATCCTCATTTCTAAGTTAATCACGCAGAGACACCCCAAGCATAGCCCTCTCCATATCTCGCTGAGCGACCTTGAGCTTCCTCATACGACCAGCAGTGAAGGATCACGTCTCAGATTCGTAAGTCATCACTGGCAACACGCACTGGTTGTACAATTTCGTTTTCAGGTTTTGAGGTATGTCTAACGAGAAGATGTGCCTAATATTCTACATATTCAACTGAAATCAACTAATTAATGTAATACTATGTGTATTTGCAGACGACGAGCCGTTGGGCGGCATCGAGAGCGAGGAGGAGGCGGACGTGGCGGTGGCGGCCGTGGCGGCGGCGTGCGCGGCGCGCGCCGGCCCCGGCGCCGTGCGCCTCGCCGACATGCGCCCGCTGGCGCCGCGCGACTCGCGCCTCGAGTACTCCTACTGCGGGGCCATCGTCGCCGCCTGGGCCGGGCCCTCGCACTGGCGCCTGCGCAACAACCGCGGTGAGTGTGCGAGTGTCCCGCCTATCCCGCTGTCCCGCTCTCTCAGTGCCGCGCGCCTCGCCGACATGCGCCCGCTGGCGCCGCGCGACTCGCGCCTCGAGTACTCCTACTGCGGGGCCATCGTCGCCGCCTGGGCCGGGCCCTCGCACTGGCGCCTGCGCAACAACCGCGGTGAGTGTGCGAGTGTCCCGCCTATCCCGCTGTCCCGCTCTCTCAGTGCCGCGCGCCTCGCCGACATGCGCCCGCTGGCGCCGCGCGACTCGCGCCTCGAGTACTCCTACTGCGGGGCCATCGTCGCCGCCTGGGCCGGGCCCTCGCACTGGCGCCTGCGCAACAACCGCGGTGAGTGTGCGAGTGTCCCGCCTATCCCGCTGTCCCGCTCTCTCAGTGCCGCGCGCCTCGCCGACATGCGCCCGCTGGCGCCGCGCGACTCGCGCCTCGAGTACTCCTACTGCGGGGCCATCGTCGCCGCCTGGGCCGGGCCCTCGCACTGGCGCCTGCGCAACAACCGCGGTGAGTGTGCGAGTGTCCCGCCTATCCCGCTGTCCCGCTCTCTCAGTGCCGCGCGCCTCGCCGACATGCGCCCGCTGGCGCCGCGCGACTCGCGCCTCGAGTACTCCTACTGCGGGGCCATCGTCGCCGCCTGGGCCGGGCCCTCGCACTGGCGCCTGCGCAACAACCGCGGTGAGTGTGCGAGTGTCCCGCCTATCCCGCTGTCCCGCTCTCTCAGTGCCGCGCGCCTCGCCGACATGCGCCCGCTGGCGCCGCGCGACTCGCGCCTCGAGTACTCCTACTGCGGGGCCATCGTCGCCGCCTGGGCCGGGCCCTCGCACTGGCGCCTGCGCAACAACCGCGGTGAGTGTGCGAGTGTCCCGCCTATCCCGCTGTCCCGCTCTCTCAGTGCCGCGCGCCTCGCCGACATGCGCCCGCTGGCGCCGCGCGACTCGCGCCTCGAGTACTCCTACTGCGGGGCCATCGTCGCCGCCTGGGCCGGGCCCTCGCACTGGCGCCTGCGCAACAACCGCGGTGAGTGTGCGAGTGTCCCGCCTATCCCGCTGTCCCGCTCTCTCAGTGCCGCGCGCCTCGCCGACATGCGCCCGCTGGCGCCGCGCGACTCGCGCCTCGAGTACTCCTACTGCGGGGCCATCGTCGCCGCCTGGGCCGGGCCCTCGCACTGGCGCCTGCGCAACAACCGCGGTGAGTGTGCGAGTGTCCCGCCTATCCCGCTGTCCCGCTCTCTCAGTGCCGCGCGCCTCGCCGACATGCGCCCGCTGGCGCCGCGCGACTCGCGCCTCGAGTACTCCTACTGCGGGGCCATCGTCGCCGCCTGGGCCGGGCCCTCGCACTGGCGCCTGCGCAACAACCGCGGTGAGTGTGCGAGTGTCCCGCCTATCCCGCTGTCCCGCTCTCTCAGTGCCGCGCGCCTCGCCGACATGCGCCCGCTGGCGCCGCGCGACTCGCGCCTCGAGTACTCCTACTGCGGGGCCATCGTCGCCGCCTGGGCCGGGCCCTCGCACTGGCGCCTGCGCAACAACCGCGGTGAGTGTGCGAGTGTCCCGCCTATCCCGCTGTCCCGCTCTCTCAGTGCCGCGCGCCTCGCCGACATGCGCCCGCTGGCGCCGCGCGACTCGCGCCTCGAGTACTCCTACTGCGGGGCCATCGTCGCCGCCTGGGCCGGGCCCTCGCACTGGCGCCTGCGCAACAACCGCGGTGAGTGTGCGAGTGTCCCGCCTATCCCGCTGTCCCGCTCTCTCAGTGCCGCGCGCCTCGCCGACATGCGCCCGCTGGCGCCGCGCGACTCGCGCCTCGAGTACTCCTACTGCGGGGCCATCGTCGCCGCCTGGGCCGGGCCCTCGCACTGGCGCCTGCGCAACAACCGCGGTGAGTGTGCGAGTGTCCCGCCTATCCCGCTGTGTTGGTAAAAATTACCTTGCGTAAATCCGCTCGATAAAATGTATCTTACCTAGCTTGAAGAGCTCCTCTTGCCCTCCCTCAATTGCATGCAACAATCCCCGTCTCTACTAATCCCAGCACCACTACGTAAACAAGAAATTGAGAAAAAACGACCGACATTGATCAACAGAAAACGAGTGGTCTTTAATCATGATAACGCCAGACCACACACATCTTTGACCACTCAGCAAAAATTGAGAGGGCTTGGTTGGGAAGTGTTAATGCATCCACCATATAGTCCTAACCTTGCACCCTCAGATTTTCACCTGTTTCGGTCTCTTCAGAATTCTTTGGGTAGTGTTAGGTGAACATCAAGAGGGGACTGTCAAAACTACTTGCTGCATTTTTTTAATCAAAATTCCAAGATTTCTACATCAACGGGATTATTTCACTACCTACAAGGTGGCTACAAGTTATCGAACAAAATGGCACATAATATATAATTATAATTAAATGTAATTAAAGTAAAAAAAAATAGTCTTTAATTTGTATATGAAATACGAAGAAAGTTTTTCCCCAACCTTGTATTTGCAATTGCAATTCAAAATTCTATTTGTAATATCAATTCCATGTCATTGTTATCAGTGTTTACCATGAAGTAAAAAGTCATTGTGACACATTAAGACTTAAAAATTTTAAAGCAGATTTCTTTTACAGCATCCAAATTATCCGAGCGAACGCAATCAACGGCCACAGGGCGTTTGACAGTAGAAGGCAAGAAACCATCGCGGACTAAACGGCAACTAGACTTTCTGGGAGCAGGATTGGCGTTCGATTCTCAGGCAGAACCTACTGGCGATTATGAGCCTACACAACCCGCCAAAATTATGATCAGCAGAAAAACACTAGCAACTGGACACACATGGAATGAAGCTAATTTTAAGACGCCAATTGACAGGTAATAAACCTAGCAAGCTAACAGCATAGCAAAGTGGCGAAGCAATCAGCTTTGTAGCGGTTTCTAACGGTTGCCGTTTAGCAATCAGTTTCAAAATAGGAGGTTCAGATGCCTGGGTGATCAGTAATCGATTGCTGAAAACAGAATTTAAAAATTCAAAACCGTTCTCGAGATAATCGTGGGACAGACGGACAGACATTGTGAAATCAATAAGTGACTTCGCAAACTTCGCCACTTAATAATGCAGTAATATGTCACCTAAGAAAGTTCCTTTTATCTACCGTCTTTAAAAGGAGCCGGTACTCAATTCGACTGTATGTTTATTTTATTTTTTATTTATTATATAGAAGAGGAGGCAAACAAGCATGCGGCTCACCTGATGGTAAGTGACTACCGCCGCCCATGAACAACCGCTACACCAAGGGAATTACAGATGCGTTGCCGGCCTTTTAGAAAGGTGTAAGCTCTTTTCTTGAAGGTCCCTAAGCCGTATCGGTCCGGAAAAATCACCGGTGGTAAACAATTCCACAGAGAAGTTGTACAAGGATAAAAACTCCTAGTAAAACGCACAGTCGTGGACCGCCAAGCATCCAGATAGTGAGGACGGTATCGTGAATTTTGACGAGATGTGCGTTCGTGAATTTGGCGGCTGAAATTAATCCGAACAATTCCTCAGAGCATTCCCCGTGGTAAATTCTATAAAAATGCAATTGACATCAAAGGAGTGCTACTTCTGTACGTAGTACTATTATTTATTATGTGCTCTTGCTACCTTGCATACCCAGTCAGGGCTAGCGCTTTTTAGGCTAGCAAAGTCTTTGTAATTTTCAAAGCTTTTTAACTAAATAAAGTTAATAGATTTATATAAATATTTTTGTTTATTTTAGTATATGTAGTTATAGGAAAATAGTTGCTTATGTTTCAATGTAAGTTATATGTATATTATAGAAAATACATTCATTAACAATTTTGAAAACTTAATAATGATAAAACCGACAAATAATTTACTAAAATTATTAACGAATATTTATTTTACCACACGATGTCAATGTTTTTTTTCCCCCAGTATTTACTTGAACTTTATATGATTTAGAGTTTTTTTCATTCTTAAATTTAATAACCTATAGTTTAGAAACGGTAAAAAAAAATTATATTAAAACAGTTGTAAATTAAATATTTTTTATTTAATTTGCAACTGTTAACCAAAAGGCTATATCTACTGTATTTTTTGGTCAAAATGTAGGCAAGTAGTGAATATCAAAGGAGCGCAACTTCTGTACGTAGTACAGAAGTTGCGCTCAGTTGTACTATTATTTATTCTGTGACAAATGTTCATTAGTAGGGCAGAAACTATTTTCAAACGACTTCAAAAAAAGGAGGAGGTTCTCAATTTGACTGTTTTTTTTATGTCTTACCTCAGAACTTTTTTCTAGGTAAACCGATTTTGATTATTCTTTTTTTATTTAAAAGCTGGTGCGTTTTAAATTTGATCAGGATCTGATCAGTAGTTTTTAGAGTTATCCTTAATAATGCGTATTTAATTGACTTCGACTATTTTGATGATGTTCTCATTTTATTTCTATTGAAGTCGGTTGTGTAAAATGTTTAATTTTACCACTTGTTTAATGACCATTTGTTTTTATTATAGTAAAAATAGTCTTAATGTCATTTGTATGTAATACTCAATTTCAGGGGGTTGGACGAATCTCATTTCCGGAAATTATTCCTGCGCCGCAATGTAATGTTATTACGCAAGAGAGATTTAGAGCAGAGCAAGCAACCGGAGGCAGAACCTGTCTCAGTGGAGGAGGTTGGCTATGACTATAACAACGAAAACGACGCCTCATATTGTCCTAATAATGTGCCGGTAAGTGTTTATATTATACGCCCTGTGCACGCAGGACGATTTCAATGTTGAGTAATATTAATATGAAACTCAGTAAGGGTCAATTTCCATCGAGTCAGTGGACAGGCTTTGAGTAATTACATACATATAGTGGCAGAATTAGGATTTCAAACAAAAAAATAAAAATATAAAGAAGATAAATTTATTTCATTAACTATCAGAAAGAAGAGGGAGTATGGGTTTTATTTCTTAATAATTATTCCGTCTAATTGACCGTCACATCGGACACACTCTTGCAATCTGACCTCAGTATTCCGCGCCACTCGCTGGAGAAGTGACGTCGGGACACCGCTTACTTTATTTAGACATGACTGAATTGTCAAGAACCGGACAAATTAGAACAGAACAACCTGAACTACAACAAACAAAATGTCTCCCAACACTGGTTTGTCAAACACGGCTGTCAGACCAAAACCCTCCCAACAAAATCACGGTTACAATCAACATCGCAACACTAAATACAAAAACCCTAAGAACACAGGAAAGTCTGCTGGACCTAAAAGTCACTAGAGAAAATAAACTACGATCTTAGGAATAAGTGAGATAAGAAGACTGAAAGAGAAAACAGAAGAGTATGAAAACTATATCGTATACCACAAAGGGGAAATAGCAGTAAATAGGATTTCTCATAATACAATCCTTAAAACAAAACATACTGGAGCTAATAGGAATTTCAGACAGAATAGCGATACTAAACATGAAACTACCGGGCTATAAGCAGGTATGGACAATCATTCAGATATACGCGCCTACCGAACAAATCGCCAAAGAGAGCATTGAAGACTTCTATCACAACCTGTCCGAAGTTACAAAGAAATATTACAATAACAACCTTGTAATCATGAGGGAGTTCAACGCCCAAGTTGGCTGCAGAGAAGCAGGAGATGATTTTGTACTAGGGCCCGTATTAATAAACGTTACTCAGCTCAAGTACACGCACTTGAGTACAATCTTGAGGTTATGATCTATTAATAAACATATCTCAAGATGCGGTTTAGGTTTATATCAGCTGAGTGCCACACTGATTAATAAACGAAACTCGACTCTCAAGTGTGTGTACTTGAGTGCAAGTCACAGAACAGTATTCCTAAGTACAGCGTTTTGAGATACTGTTTTTATGTGTTTATTAATTAGCAACGATCTTGAGATGCTGATATCGTAATGAGGGCTTATCAAATGATTAAGCACTTGAGTACGTCGTTGAGTAACGTTTATTAATACGGGCCTAAGAAAGTACTGCCATGACAACAAAGTACCAACGAACACAGGCTAATAGCATTCCTCTTACAAAATAATCTATAAAAATAATCCTATAAAAAAAAATTGGACCTTGATGTCTCCCGATGGCAAATATAAAAACGAAATCGATTTTATTTTAACTAACAGTAAGGTCAATGATACACAAGCTATACAGAATTTGAATTTTAACACTAACCGCCAAATGGTTCGCGGACACCCATATGTGTATCCAACAAAAAGTCAAGGAAAGCTGTAACAAAAACTACAATATTTCCACTAGAAAAGTATGCGAAGAATATTGAATCACTGCATGAAATTGCTAACTCTGACTTGAGTGTTCAAGTTGAATACGATTACCTGGACAAGAAACTGTCAGAAATTAAGAAAAAGGATAGCAACAAATTCAGTAACAAAACAATAGAGCTGTAAGAAGAAAGAAAAAATTTCAATATTCTTTAATCCATAGGAAACAAGTGCTGAGGATGGAATAATTCCCCTCCAACTGCAAAGGGGTTCTTCCTTATCTGGTGAAAATCTTCACAGCAAGTTTTGTATGGGGATATATTCCAGAACGATGGACAATTGTCGAAGTTATATTTATACCTAAGGCTAGTAAAAAGAACTACTCCTTACCAAAGTCATTTAGAAATATGAGACCATCTTCCTTTTTTCTCAAGACATTGGAAAAAATTATAGATATTATTATACCCATATTATATTACAACCAGCAAATTTACAGAAACAACCCTCATTCATCAGTTTATTAATAGGGTCGAAAAAGCGCTGGACGATATAGGTATAGGTCTTTCCTTAATAGCCTTTCTAGATATTGAGGGTGCCTTTGACAGTAGCCCCACATCACTGCTGGTTGGGGGCCTGACATCCAAAAATGTTAACCCCCTATCAAACAGAAAGGCAAAATTAGCACAGTTCAAAACTTCGATTGAGGTTGATGGTTCGATGGAGGCCAATTTCCTGAAATTACTAATTTCGGTGTGACTAATTTAGACACATTAGTCACTCCGAAAAGACCCACTGTCCCCCAAACTATTTACTGCTGTGCTGGAAAATATCTTCAACGTCAATGGCAGCCTCTTAAATAATTTGAGGTTTTGACGATATTATCTTGCTGGAAGAAGACCGAAGTAATGTATAGCATAGTATAGTTGTAACAATAAGCAATGATAGAACTCTAGGCAATGTTAGCAAAGAAGTAGGTCTCGAAATTGCAAATTATCAAGACAATATCTGATAATTATCCGGTTACTATCGGCAAATACCGGCAATATAATGTGTATTAAAAGTATTAATAGTTAGAATTCTTTTATTTCAAAAAATGATCTTTGTTTGATACAATCAACAATAACAAAATTTAAACAAATCAACATTATTTGTCATATTACCACCCCACCTATAAGTTAGGTAAAATAATGGACAAAATTAACACAAAATAATAAAAATAGATACAGATTAACTGAAATAAAAATCAAAAGAGAAATGTATTAGTGTTGCTTGTTATTAGTCTTATTGATTGATTATAGAAATATTTTTATTTGAATACCAGCGTAAATTAACAGCTAAACACTGCTGTGTTTCGTATGGTGTGTGTAGAGAACCGGAGAACCTTTTTACTGGAAAAGAGGCTTCCATCTTAGTCCTCACGGGTGACAACGCATCTGCATTTTGATTCTTTATTGAGGATAAATGTAGATGTCTATGGGTCACAGCAACCACTTACCATCAGGTGGGCTGTGTGCTCGTTTGACATCCTATCCTATAAAAAAAAAATTATCCACATTATTACAAATTAAATGAATGAATGGGATATTATCCTCGTCATCTGATTTGTTTTCTTTATATACAATGACTTTCTCGTGTTCGGATACACACTATCGACTTGACGCACAATATTTCCAGCGTTCGGATACACGCTAATAAAAATAATATTAAAAAAATCATCCCGTGCAATCCTGCAGTCAAAAGAAAACTAATGACCAACTCTACAGAAGTTGATATATAATTGGATGGAAAAAGACTTGAATATGTCCGAGAGTATGTGTACCTACTTGGGTCAAGTAATTGCCCCTAGCGACCAAACATCTAAGGAAATAAATAAAAGATTTGCTAGTGGCTAGAAAAAATACTGGTCTCTGAAAGAAATCATGAAAAGTAAAGAGCTAAGCATCTCTATCAAAGAGAGAACATTTAACAACTATATTCTCCCCTGAATCACACATGGTTGAGAGACATGGTCCCTCAACCAAAATCACCGGGAGAAACTTGTAAAATGCCAACGAGCAATGGAGAGAAGTATTTTAGGAATAAAAATCAAGGATTATTCCTAACATCCACAACCCGAAGATGGAAAGACGATAGCCGCTTGACCCTGGGGCCATACAGGACAATATACAGGACAAGTGTAGCAGCAGAAGTTGGAGAAGGCCTATTCCAAAAGACATCGAACTGAGGAACTTACTCTAAATAGTATTACAGTAGGAACTCAAACAGAATAATGTACAACCCAAACTTTGGATATAATTGGCTATATTATTATTATATATTAGACTTACTTTAAAAACTTATAGTAAAGTATGAATACAGCCTTGAAAATTATAAGCGAGTTGGATCCCAATTTTATATGCTAATTTACCACTTGTTCAGTGGAAAATAAAACCATTGAGAAAGCTAATCTGCTTGGATGAAAATATTTCGAAATTTGAAATGAGGCAATTTGAAGGTAGGATCTTGATATAACCGTGTAGCGGCGGAGTAAGAAAATCCACTACCTTTTACAAAAGAATATATTTTAATATTACTTGAACTTGAAGCTCTAAGACCCCGTATCATCCCGTAAGTATCACATAAGGCGACAGAGGGAAATGAAACAGATGAGCATCGGTATCTTCCTGATAACAACTAAAAATAATAAAGAATTGCGGTTGCCAACCCACTCGCTAAGAGAGATAACTAAGGCAAATATTTCCCCTATGAGGCAAGCTATGTTTTGCAGTGGATTAATTATGATAGGCATGAATGAATGATGTATAATGTCTTGAGGAAGCACAGAGGAAAACGGGTAATACGTTCGTAATCGATTTATCGGTAGTTGTGATGAAGCGAGAAAAGAGGAAGCAGTTTGCGGTCGTGCCTCGGTTATACTACCGTAGCAGTGCCCCCTGTGGACTGTGATATAGGAAATATGTCAATGAAATAGAGACGTGTTGATGCTTCTATAACTTTAATTATAATATTCTTATTCTACCTTAACACTAATATATATATAGTAGTGGGGGCTATACTACACTACACCTCCCACCGACAAAAAAAATGAAAAATAAATAAATATATTTGTTTTTTTTTTTACTTATAAAAATAAATATAAAATATGTTTATTTGAACTAAATATAAATTACAAAAATAAAATATAGTTATATTCTATGGGTAGTTCGGGTGGCCACATCCCTCTACCCCATAGTAATTTCAAGGTCACAATAGAATTGGTATGATGTATCATGCATACATACAACACACTTATTTGACATAATTAGGTAATTCGCTAAGTTCTAGTATAGTTGTACATTCATTTATATTTTAAAATACTCTTGTCTTATTTATTTATTCATACTTTTTCATCTCATTCCTTATTTTCGAGTTAGGCCTTTTTATTATCTTTTTTTTCATAATTCTTGTACATACTTTATTTTCTTGATATTTTTTACCTT